TTCTGACAGATTACCTTAGAGGATAATTAAAAGAATTTAAGCTGACTTCTGAGGCTGGTGAGGCTGTTAAACAGCTAAAGGATAAAATGACTCGAGCATCTACGCTGACATATCCGAACTCCCACTTCCACTTGCCTTGCTGTTGAATGCTTCGGACAAAGCAGTAGACGGTATCCTTAACAAACTGGCTAAAAACTCCTGTAAACCGATTGCGTACCTCTCAACAGGATTTGCCCCATCAGAGAAGTGGTATTTTACCTTCGGCAAAGAACTCGCAATCCGTCTAAATATTGAGCGTTTCTGGTACAGTTCATACAGATTATAAAACATCGACAATGCATTAAAAGCTAGATCCGGTAAGTATTCTCCTCGATAGATCCAATAGCTTGACTATATATCGCAGTTCACTATTGATAACGGACATGTCAAAGGTCATGACAATCACGAGCCAGATGCATTGTATCGGCGAGAAATGAACATGATATGAGAGTCTACAGTAAATTTCGAGGCGTCAGGAGACAACCATAAGGTGGATCAAAAATCGCTAAACCTAATTCCAGCAAAGAAATCTAGTCCCAAACTAGGACAGCTGCCATCACCTATTGAAGGTAGTTTGGCTTATGTAACACGACCAAGGAGATACCTCTAACTTACGTTTTCACAACTCCTCCAGTTCTTACATCATTTATGGACCTCATGGATAGTTTATTCATGTGAATGCAATCGATTTGGTTCTCCGCTGTGTGATCTAGTAAAACCCTTTTAAGAGGAAGTGTGGTAGCCCATGATCATGGTTTTGTAAATACATAGATCTAACAGTCACTCACCAATCTCCCTCCTTATCCTTGTTCTCTGTCGCCCCGTCATGCGTCCATTCCCAGAATTGTCCATCATGATGTTGACATTTAAGTAGCCGATCAGAGTGACTAGATTTTTCTATGAGCACTTCTCTACAATGAGCTTAAGCCACTCATAAGTCTGATCTTTATCGTCTACGCTGCTACCATTAGTATGCATGCAGCACAGGAAGATGTTGAATATAATCTTTTCCCTCTGTTTGAAGGATACTTTTATGGATTTAAAGAAGGCGGTTTCTAATACTATAAGCACGTTTTTTTATGTTTCTTTGGATAGCAATAAAACAACTATCTGCGTGCGTGAAACAGTTTCGTATTCGTGGCCAGAATACTGCAAACTCCATCCAACTCTGTCCTGAGCTATCATTTCCAGTTGCTACTCATCCTTTTCATATCTGCTTCTCATACTCGTTGCAGTGTGTTCATTCGTCTTCCTCTTTTCAGTTTCCCCTCACGATTCCGAGTAAGCGCTTGCTTCATGACGCAGCTTAGTGACTTCCGAAATGTTTGTCCTATCCACTTCCAACGTCTTTTCCTAATTTCCTCTTCAGTTGAAAGCTGGTTTGTTCTCTCCCACAGTAGACTGTTGCTGATGGTATCCGGCCAACGGACAATGAGTATCTTGCATATAAAATTGTTTATAAATACTTGTACCTTTTTGATGATGGTTGTGTTAGTTTCCGAAGTCTCAGCTCCTCACAGTAGTACTTTCTTGACGTTTGTATTGTAGATTGTGACTTTGATACTGGTTCACAAGCAGCTGTTTTGAGTTGCATATGTGTTGTATATGTGAAAGATTCCACCTCTTCGAAGTGTGATTGTGTTGGTGTTCTCCGCGTTGTATTTGAGGATGTCTCTTTTTCGCCTGTGTGTGATGAGGCCTACCACTGCTACATTGTTTGTCTTAACCTGCATTTTTTCGCGTGTATGAAAAAGAAAAAGCAGGTCATCCTCAGAGTTCAAATCATCTAGTTGCACCCAATCTGTCCACTGTATTCCATGCTTCCCTCAGATGTGGGGTTCTTCATAATCCAGTCAACCACCAGAAGATAAAGTAAGGGGAAGAGTAAGCAGTCTTGTCTGACTCCAGTCCTTACATGGAATGCGACTGTCAGCTGTCCTTCATGCACCACCTGTCACCGTAGTCCGTCGTATGAATTCGGGATAATGTTAACGATCTTCTCAGGCACACCATAGTGTCGAAGAGGATTCCATGAGGTCTCGATAAAGAAGCAAATGATAAGTGTTTAATTTAAAATCAAGAGACCAATGAAATATCAAGCAGGAAGGGTAGAGAATAAAAACTCCATATTTAAAAGTGGAGCAACAAGTTACATCACAAAAGTGTGTAGCTGAAGGGATTTCCATACACACTCACAGAAAATTTTCAGAAAGAATCTCACAACAGGTGCATTCCACAGCAGGCTGTGGTGCCCTAATGCAGGTCCCTGTAGCTAATTGTGGTCAATAAAACTAGGGAAATTATTGTCAAACCCTACAAGCATATTGTTATTGTTTCAAGTACTATATTACTGCCTTATCTGCACATAAATTAAGCAAAGGTCAACTTTTGTAACAGTTCTGTCTGAAGTTACCATTTTTTGTATAATTACCAAACAGTGAAAGTATTATATTACTGCACTTCCCTACTTGTGAGCTTACGGTGAGACATAAGTCGTTATTCTTTTTATTTCTCCCAAATTATCGTTAATTTACAACAGGCCTGTCATTCAGGCCTCTTTCACTTACGGTGCAGTTGTACCTATATCATAATTTCGCAATTCCGTTGATGTGTGATCGGGATTATGCTCTATATTAATGTAAGAATGATTCATAAATTCGTTTTCAAATAAGTGTTATATGTATAGACACTTTTACGGTCCGGGAATAAGTAAAAATTATTCTGAAGAATTATTCAACACTATAATGGCACATATTTAAAAGTTTGGCCAGTGGACCAGTTCACTGATTCAGTAAAGAGGAAAAAGTACATCGCTTCTCCTGAATAGAGCATTAACTGAGTACCATGCAGTTTGTAATAATATTGTGCACACTATTTATATAGTTGACGCTAGTAAATGCCCCTGTTAATACCGCATGCAGTTAACGATTTCAAGGATTTTCCAATCAAACAGCGAATAAAAACACTGATCGTGACAGAAATCATTCTAGTCAAAATACAAACATCCAAACATTTGTAGTGTGGCGTCGAGTCACGTTTGACTATGATCACCACTACAAGAAGATTGCGTACCAGAACAGGCTAAACCTCCGAGTAAACCAGAAGTCAGAAGGCAATTGAAGGTTGTAGCAAGATATATTTGTTGGCAATCTCGTGGTATCGAAATTTACCGAAATCGTGCCAAAGAAGTACAAGTGGAACTATTGAGCAAACGTAAGTTCATGCAAGGTCACGAGCAACGGAAGAATGTACGTAATTTGGTATCGTTAAAAAAACAAGTACGGTAAACAATCCCTGGTACAATCGGTTATAATAATAATTGTTTCCATTACACCAATCGCGTTTTCTTGATAAAAGTAGGTCACTACACATTAGAACTGAAACTAACAAGGCGTATTTATAATGTGATGAAACAAAGGATTCCTAGTTAGAAACGTAACTACCAATATGATTCGTTTCATTTGTTGACGAAGGGAGTTTTTCATTTGAACTACGTTTATTGCGTTTAGTTATTTAAGGATTATCAAGACTACCTAGTGGAAAACTATAAAACAAATAAGCATTAATTTTAACACTACTATTAGGAAAGGATAGTTACACGCCAAGTAATTCGTGGCTGACTTATATTTGTTGGTGATTAATTGAGAAGATAAAATCGTGGGAAAATACTGCATAGAATACAAATTACTTTTAAAACTATACTTATGTGCATGTAATTTCATCAAGTTGTAAAAGCAACGAAGGGTCAAAACATAAATCATTTAACTCATTATACACCATTCTTATAAAATTTGTCTTTTTTTATTACTTATACATCCTTATAGATAGTGAGTTTTGTTTGGTGTAAGAACTTATAATTCTTGTTTTAACTTAGCCTTAAGTTTCAGATTACAAATGGCCATCATTTTAAAGGTTACTAATAAATCTTCCGTAATCTGTTATAAAGAACAACTTTGGCATGTTCAACAACTAAACATTCAACCTTTTCAATTCTGATTGTTATATCTTTTGAGCTGAATGGACTAATCGTGAAAATGTCATTGTCATTCTCATTAACTTCATCAGAGCACAGTCTGATCCTAAGGATGTAAACGTATGTTATTCGGTTGTAAAATATACGTAAACGTGTACAAGTACACAAGATCCCAATGCACTTAAAATGCAAGAAGAAATATAAATATATTTGTGCCAGTAATTTGAATTTACAAACTTGTAGCCTGGATACTTAAAACAACGGTTTCCAGTACTTTACAAACATAAACATATACCGAAATTTTCAGAAAGTGACAGCTGAATCTTAAGGTACCTTCGGGATGCATTTAAACAGACCAAGCATTAACTAGACAAGATATAATTATCTTGAAAAATACGGAACGTCGCAATATTTCTTCAATGATATAACTGAGATTGAAACGTTATTTTGATGAAAATCTTACTGTTTGAGTAATAAAGAATATACCATGCAAATGATTTAAATTTGTTTGGTGCAATTATAAACTGATTAGTGTGAGAATTAACTGGTCGGAATACAGTACAATAGGACCCAACCACCAGTTAATATGAATAATAAATTTATATGCTTGATATGGTTTTTGTTTAGCACTCTGATCAACAGTATTTGGAATACAATCGTCAAAAAAAGAAAATTATTGCTACGCGACAAGAACAAACTTGTAACGCTACACAACAGTTGAGACTAATCAATTCAGATGCTTGAAGCTTTTGTCTAAAGATTAAGTTTATATTTCATTGAGTATAGGTGTTATTGATCAATAAGATTGACTTTTGATGACACCAGTAAAAAGAACTTAATGGTAGTGTTCACTTTGGAAAAAATAAGATGCATAATAATATTTTAAGACCCTTTAGAATATCGCATATCTAAATGATTCTAACCAGAAAAAGCAATTGAGCGAAAATGAAGTATCAATATATCTTATGCCAGTTCAAGTAACACATCTCTTCCCAAACCTCCACCAGTATTGAAAATACAAGACTTACTACAAAACTATTCCAATGAGTAATATGTAAGACTCATTTGAATGTAAGACTCGCTAATCAAAAACTAACCAATTTCATACATTTACAGTTTAATTACGACTTTTTTTTAAAAAATAACAATATACTGCTGATTCAGCAATGACAATCTATACCATGATAGGATATAAATTAACCAAGTTGTGCCAATCCAGTGAATTGACATTAAAACACTGAGTAAATATTTTTTAAAAATCTTCCGTTTTCTTTTTCGTCGAAAAAGAGATTTTTTAAAAATAAGAAACAAACAAACATACAACTCTAAGTGACAAAAATAACAGTGATTATCAAAAAAATCAAACATACACCAACAACAAGATCATCTTATCAGTATAGGGTTGTGAAGATTGTTGAGTTTTAATTGAATTCATGAACCATTCAATGTTAGACTACCGTTGATTGGTTCATGATCTCAATTAAAATAAAATCCTCTTCTTATCGGATCGTTTTCCTACTCAAAATAAAACGATGCGAACTGTAGATTAGAAAAAATTACAATTTGGAAAAATAATCAAACAGAAAAAAATATAGAAATCGAATAGGAAAATTACAGTAATCAAGTATTTGTTTCTTAATCAATGAAAAATTTTCCTTGTCAGTTCTATTGTTATCTCAATTTTGAATTGTTTAAATTCACTGTAAAATGTCCAGAACCGACTCGAAAATTCTCTTCAAATTTATAACCATTTCTTGAAAGATACTGTATAACTGCTGGTCTTAACACTGGGGCTATTGACACTAAGTCACTTTCATTGCCAGCTGCTCGACCAGTTATCACGGTGAAATATTTCAATGATTTTAATCGATTTAATTTATCTTTTAAATAAGTTAAACGTTGTTGTAATACATGTAATGCGCATGATTTATTTAATCCATGTAAATCAAGATAAGCAAATGCTAAACAAGCTGAATGAATTGGTTTCCCTCCATTGGTCAATAATTCATCTTCATATAATGATGATCTTGTATCAACAAGATATTCAGCTTTTTGTAATTCTAAATAATGCAATTGACTTTGTAATGAACGTATCTAAGGAGAATTAAAACAAATGTGTAAAAACAAACGACAATTTAAAAGATAACCAACAAGTACTGAACAGAGATTTTGTTTAAGTTTAAAACTAATCATCAGTAGGCACTTACACAACTGCTTTATTAGGAGACCTTGATTGGTCCAAGTTCAGTGATTCGTGTTTTTAAAACCATTTAGTCTGTGATATAGCATTCATATGTACTAAAAAGTTACAATGTCCATGAAGAGACCTGAATCCCACCAATCCCGACCCTTTGTGATGTTCAGCCCTTCCTCCTCCGGTATCCAATGTTTCTTCAGTGTATCCAGTTCTCAAAATAATAAAATTATTATGCTAGGCTTATTCCGTACACAGTTCCGTATTGTTTTATAGCTTATGGAGCAAGAGATTATAGATTAGTTATATAAACGTTGCAGTTTTTTAAGTGATACACTGATAAAATATGCTCAACTAGTAATGGCAACAAGATAGAACTACTGACATAAGTTCACATTGCACTCCTTATAACTGGATATGAATATACAATACAGTTAATCATCAAATAATGTTTTTCTATCTAGTAAAATAAGACAATTAAGCATGGAAGATGTCCCCTTGACTTTTTTCTCAAATTTGCCGTTCGATGTAAAATCTAGCATTTTCCCTTCACCTACCTATTGAGTGGATACTGCACCTAAGAGCACAAATTTTATTGAGAATTTCATTTTAAGCTCTAACTTCCACGGCATTTGCTTTTTAAATCCAGAAAAGTGGGAAGCACCACAGTAAGGTATTCACAGAAGACATATGTAAATAGCTTTAGATGAGTGAAATGGAGTCATCAATGAAAATTAAACTCTCATATGCGGAAATAGCCCACCAAGTAAATGGAAAAGTTTTCGAAAATGCTAGCTATCGTACTTTTACCAAACATTGAGAAAGGGTAGTTATCCTCACATACACTTGTAAACAAAATATTAAACACAAAACTAAACATGATTACAAATTATTTAAAATAAGCATGATTATAGGATATGTTTTTAGGCCCCTTACTCTTGAATAAAATATAGACCTAATTATTAGGTTCAACTGTCACCGGTCGCATTATTTATTTCAGATTATACTTTCTTCCCAACTGTATATTAAGAGATACTCGTAAAAAGACTATGTGTGGCCGTCCTTAATTATCTCTTGGGCTCTACTAAAGTCATGCTACTAGGTCTCCAAGACCTCTTATCAATCCAGTTTCGTTTCCTGATACCTTAAGGCGTACTTCCTCATGTTGTGAGCAACCATGAAGCGACAGCTCCTCACACACCTTTAACATTACTCCAGAACGCCTTGACAAACTTTATCTCCCGATATCAATCATAATGCCTATAGGATTACAAGGTGCTTTTTCATTTAATAGTCAAGTATGCAGTAATGTACAAATCATCAACGTTGGAGGCGAATCACAGTTGTTATAAGTTAGTTAAGAAGTATATCTTTATTATTTTACAAAATAAAATCTTAATCTTCGATATTTTTGCGGCGATCATTAAAGACTGTTGGATTATCTAAACAACACCGAATAATCTATTCTCAAACTACGTATGAAAGCAAACCAATTTAATCTTTTAATCAATAATAGACAATCTCCTCAATTAGTTTCTACACCTCATGACTTCAAAATACAGACAACAACGATGCATTAAGGGACACGCTTGGTCGTTGACTATTACAATAAGTAATAGAATGAACAATTACTAATTAATGAAATATAATGAACACTAAAACCAAGGAAAAAAACCCACAGAAACAAACAAACAAATGAAACACAAACCTCAGTTATTTGGAATTGTTTAATTCGATTATCGTTAGCATATGAAAGATCATTCTTCATACGACCTATCCTTTGTCGAATATCAGATATCTTTTGGTTAATCAAATTTAACCAATCAGTATTATGAATACTGCTATTGCTAATATCAGTTACATAACCTTGATTAGATGAAACTGGTGAAACTCTACTATCATTATCGTCGACATTTTCAATGTATTTATTTACAGTTTCCACGAGAAATGGATTTAACGAGTGAGTTACAAAACCTTGTTTTATGAGATAATCCGAAAGATTTTGCTCGTTTAAACTAAATTTATTAAAAAAAAGTACACGCAAAAGAAGAAAAAACAACATTTTTAGCATGAAATACAAAATAGTACAACATAATTACGTAGAGCAATAATAGTGATCACGATAACTTTTTAATTCAACATCACATGAAACAAATTGTTCACACCAATCGTGAACAGCATTGCAACAAATTCCTGTCTTACACCAATATATGCGGTATAAATATGATAAATGGATGAGCTTAAAACAACCGGGATTAATTTCCGGCCAACTTTTGGTCAACCAGAAATCGATAATTTATGGAAAAACAATGATATAACGGATGGTTTAAAGTATTCCCTCTCGTTCAAGTATAGTAGGATTTTAGTGGCCCGTATCTGACTCCAATTGGATTGTATGAATGATTGTTATTGAAATATATATTCTGCTAATAACTCGCATTAGTGAATAATAGAATTAAATAAATCAAACACGAGAATGTATTTTTGAATATGTATATTTTATACAATCATTGATCCAAGCAGACGATCAAAGGAACGAAGCGAAACGAGATGATGCGCGGTGGAGAAGGCATGTAAGTCAACTCGATTTAATCAAGCGTTGACCGATATTTATGGCCGAACAAAAATAAGTTACAAGCATGTAATGAGTAAGATAAAAAATGTACACACACACACTAATATAAAAACAGTCAAGGTTGATAAGTGAATAATTGACAAAGTGAAAACGTGACTCAAGAAGAATGAATACATGGTGGTTAGAGGTAGTCAACAGGAAACCCTGAGCCCGGGTTTCGTGTTATTCGGCACTCGTCAGCAAGGTGTACCTTTAATCTTGAGGAAGCTGGCGCTTCCTGACGGATTCGATCCCGTGTCACCCAGCTTCATAGTCAGAGATGTTACCACTGGGCTAACCGGGCCTAGATCGACATCCTGTAGGACTGAGATGTATTCATAATTGATTGATTACTGGGTGGTGATCAATTGCATGTACGTCAGGTCCTTCTTAGTGCAGATGGAATGATATCGACCAAGTTGCAATGTGACCACTAGTCTGGGTAACTCAAAACCCGGGTCCAGGGTTTCCTGTTGACTATGTCCAATCATCATCTTATCTCAACATAGTGTACGCAATGTCGAGTCACCTAGACTGGTGGCCACATTGCAACTCGATCGATAGCATTCGATCTGCACTAAGACGGATCTGACTCGTGTGACATTGATCACCAACCTGTGATCAATCAATTGTGAAAAATGAATAGATTGGCTTGTCCAGAAGCTAGAATATGTTACGTTGATACGATAATAAGGCTAGTTACGTTATAACAGATTCAGGATTCACGACCCGGAAGAGAAAACCAAATTAGCACTAGATAATACTTTCATTTGACACAATTACAGGCATTCACACTCAGTGAGTTCGGAATAGAAATCAATAGCACGAAAGGAAATCGCGTACTTAGCAGTCAGTACGCTGTGCCTGTTTGTCCAGACTCAATGACTAATTATATTTTAGTTTCACTACCACACACGACCTTCCCCTCTAAGGTTGTAGACAGCCCTGTCCCACATCGTTTGAAAAGATTGGTCAGAATTATGACTTGCTATTGCATGCATATATCTCCCCCCATGAAACAATGTAGGGACCTTATGTTGCAATGTTATAAATAATTTAACGTTCCCAATCTGCATTATCTCATAGCTTAAGTTTTGATTGTATGTGAGTATTTAGGCATACAAATTGACATGTGATTTTGACTTGCATAAAAAATATGCTACATGTTCCATTCATCGCCTTTCACGTGGAAAAAAATATAAGGCCATTGTTCCAGTTATAACATGAATATGCACTTTCAGCATTGATATATGTGATTAACACATGTGATACACCTACAAGACAATCATACGGAACATATGCTTTTGCCTCATACTTATTATAAGGACTCATTTTAGATTTTCTCCCTGAGCAAACTGGTTCTCTCATTGCTTCAGACAAACTTGCCGTGCCCTCTGATTCATCATTCCACTAATTGGGGATTCTACCGAACATAGATTGTGAGAATACCCGAAATCTGATAAAATAACATCAGGAATGTGACTAGAATTCAACTAATTTGGGACATATTTGTCACATTCATTAGGGATATCACTAGGAGTAAATTCGTTTTGAAGACAAATGACATCTGATGGGACACTATCAGAACTGTAATCAGATTTTAACGCATTTATAACTTGTTCCTCACATTTAATTAAGATTTCACTAGAAATAAACGAATCATTAGGACAAACCATATCTGATAAAAAGACATCAGAGTTCTCGTCAGGATTTGATGCACTCGACAAATCCTCCACATATTTATAAACAATTTCATTCGAAATACATGAATCAATAAGACAATCCATATTGGTAAAGTAATATCGTAAATCTGATAGGAATTTGATTTATTTGAAACATTATTCCCACAACAATTCAGGACTTCACTCGATATAGTTAAATAATCACTAGACTGGTCGGAATCCAACATCGAAACATTTGGATCTTGCCCAGTGTTAACATTATTAAGGACAGTTTTCTCTATTATACTGACAATTTCCATTTGAGCTTGCACAAATTGATCTAGTATTACTTCGAAAGTCTCTATTTTCGATTAGTAAGATATATCCGACTACAAAAGTAGGTACGTAGGTTCATTTAAACAAACCGTTCCGTCGCCAATTTATGTCCTATGGCTCATTAAATATGACGTCATAAAACCGCCAATCAGAACACCGACATATATGATCTTGTCCCTGTACTAAACCAGTAATGCGTTAATCAAAACGAGCAGCCTTGAGTCAACTCTCAGGCCTTATCGATTCCCTATGTGGTAACTTCTTGCCTAACCTAGCCCGTTCGGTCCACAACACAAACAAAAACCCCCGTTGTATGAATCCTATATTTCAGACATACATGATTTATATACAAGCAGGCCTGACAGCATCATACTATGAAATGAAGAATAATAATTATAGAAGATCATGCCCAAAGTGGTTGTGAGTATAGGAGACTGTCATTAACGGAGTGGGAATAAATTAAGAGTGGTAAACCATATACGGTAGCCAACAAGTCGAATGAAAACTTATGAGGAAAGGAATATAAACATAAATGATCTATTTACTTAATTATATGATAAGAATATATATATGTACGGTGATAATTTCTAAATAATTCCTGGAAGTTAACACTCATTCTATGTTAGGACATAACACAGATTTTAACTCAGTTAGCGAATCTATTGGCGTCTTTTAAAGGATACTTTACTTGTAAATTGAACAAGCAAGAATAAATAAATTCGTCCATGTAAATACAGATTGCCCGTCTTCTCTAACTTCTAAAATGACCTACATAGTTTTTTTAAAAGTCTCTACATTGTTATTGGTTAGGGTTAGGGATTAAGAATTAGAGATTAAAGGTTATGGTTTTCATCATGAACTGACATCAGCTAAGATGAGGAAATTCGCTATAGACAAATCTACTGTAAGATCTGAAGATTCTGAATTAAATCTCATGTACAATTGTTAATGCATGCTGTTAAACGAGTCATCTCAAACTGAACTGAAACAAGGTTTTCAATTTTTTGATTGAGATCATGAACCGATTGATGTTAGACCACCATTGAAAACCTGGAAGCACTGGACGACCGTTTCGTCCTATTGTGGGGCTCCTCAGCGGTGCGTATTCACGATCCCGCTCGCGGGATTCGAACCCATGGCTGTCCAGTACTTCCAGGTTTTCATGGTGGTCTAACATCAATCGGTTCATGATCTCAACCAAAAGCTAATAATCTCCACAAGCACTATACTGATAATTACCATGTGCTCACTAGTGAATAGCTTCGTGAGAAAATTCTCGGAGTTCTGGTGAGAAGCCGTGACCAGTGGAGTTAATCCGTGTCGGGTAGAAACAGGTGTCTACCTAAGTACAATGAAGATGGTCGCGCAATTTCTTGAATTGGTTGAAGTTAGACATTAACACCATTGGATGTCGGCTCAGTAGTCCAGTAGGTTAAGCGTTCGCACGCGAGACTGAAGGCCCGGAGTTCGAATCCCGCGAGCGGGATCGTGAATACGCACCGCTGAGGAGCCCCACAATAGGACGAAACGGTCGTCCAGTGCTTCCAGGTTTTCAATGGTGGTCTAACATCAATCGGTTCATGATCTCAATCAAAAAATTGAAAACCTTGTTTCAGTTCAGTTTGAGATGACTCGTTTAACAGCATGCATTAACAATTGTACATGAGATTTAATTCAGAATCTTCAGATCTTACAGTAGATACGATAAAATTGGATGCCAATAAGTTTTAATGTTCACATGGTCTTCATTTTTCGAACTTAATCAAATTTGTGGTGTAACACAATCCTTATCCAATATTGTAGTTAATTTACTCATATGTTCTCGCCTCTGAGTCCAAAGAGGAAAACTTTTCAAAGCCATACAAAAGTGAAAACAAACAGGGTATGGGCAGTTTATTTCAAGCAAACCAATTATTAACCTCACCAAGGCCACGAACACTGAAATACCTATGTTTGAATCACTCTGCTACTATGGATAGTGACGTCATTGACTAGTTGTGTGAAGAGAACGGTACGAAGCGACAACTAATTAGTTGAAAAGGAAATCCCGAATATCGCCAAGCCACTGCTTCACAAATCCCAAGCTAGATCACGATCACGACGGGATAATCCAAACATTTCATATTGTTCTCAACAGTTGCTACTAATCATGGATATTTTTAACTCCAGATATACCACTTAAATAACTCGACAGAAATACACACATGTATACGCATGCATAATAGAATGTATGAGGTTTCCTTCAGCTCCCAGGTACATCATGCCGATCAATGGTAACCAATACTCAGAATCTTCGAAATTTCATGCAATTAGTTCACTTTTAACAAACATAGGAATAATAAATGAAAACAACTTGAAATGAAAATGTATTCATCATCTATTGTGTTCTACCAGATCTTTCACATACTCAAACCGATGTTCTCTTCTTTAAATGAAGCATTTACAAATATAACGGATCTGTTTTGAAACATGAGTAAAGTAAACCAGATTGTTAGTATGCAGAAAGAGATGATGAAGTAATCATTATAACTGCTTCTAATAATCATAGCTCATGGAAGACTTCATGTTATCTAGTCTACATTAGCGAAATTTCTAAGCGAATTTCTTCCCAGGAATAAAAACTGCAATAAAATTCCGCTTTACTGATTCATCCATATGGTCTTTTCTGTTCTCTGATTGGTATTTATTATTTTCGGTTCGTGTTATATTTACCTTGAGATAGGGTTCAGTACGGGTCCTCTGTGATTGTTAATTACGAAATGATTGAGCTTATTTTAATACAAACGAATTATATGGCGGAATTGATAGAACAACAACTGAAAAACAACAGCACTTCAATGCTAGTATTTCAACCATTAATATGAGGTAGATAAAACAAGAATTTTAGGATAGCTTCATACGTCGGACAAATGTCAAAAGTTGAAATGGAACAACTTTGTTCAGTTCGTAATATCCTTTGACCTTGAGGAACGATAGAAATGGCGAATTGAAGGGGAAACAGCTAATCAGATTTCAGCAGATATCAGATATCACCGAAGTTATCTTTTAACGAAAGAACTAACTTGTAATAACAAAATCTAGATAATCTGAATTCTCCTTAACAGTCTTCTAACTTTCTTGTGTTCTAAATTCCTGTCTTGTTGTCATTTACACAGAGTTGTTCTTTAATTTGGACTTCGTTGAGTATAAAGAGTTTACTGCACTCCTGTCTTCTTCTTCTTCTTCTTCTTCTCCTTGGGGTTCATCGTCAGGACAATGTTTAAAGCGTTGTATTCATCAGTGACCGTACTATCAAGTACACATTAGGAGAATCTACATTGTTCATCATTAAAAATCACCGGTGGCCCAACTGATTTTCAATTAAAAGATATGAAACACAAAATATATTAAATAATAATAATAATAAATACTTACTCAAATCGAATGAAAAGATTTTCCAAATAATTTATATCTATTCCAGGAAACTGTGCTTTTAAACGACTCAAACAAAGTTGATTGGCCAATGTTAGAAGACGCTAAAAAAGAGACTTTATTTAATAAACGGATAAACAAAGCAACTGAACACTATTTTACTGAGAAAAAAGTTAAATAAAATGATAGCAAACAGAAAATTATGTCGTGAAAATGTTGTTGTATAGGATTATCATAAGTAGAATATTGTACATTTCAATAATACACTCCTCCACGATCTTCTTTGAACTATAACTGACAATTATTTAGACAAGGTATTAATCAATAAAACAGACTTTTAGTGTGATTTTGTTTTTTGAAATTTTGTATAGCTTACCTACCTAAGTGTGATACTCTTCGTAAAGCATAGCATGCCTACTGAGAACCTTCAAGTAACTTTGTCCCAGGCTCTTCTTTCCAATTGTTACCAAGTACTATCTATGATTGTGATGTTTGTCCATAATTTTCGGTGTCATGCGTTCTTTAGTTTGCATATTTTTCTTTGGCCTTAAAGATTTCAAGTTAAGACTTGTCTTGTGATGGAATTTAACGAAACCTTATATACGTTTTGATAATATCGATTCCCGTCATTTACCTGGAATAGTTCAAGTTAGCCGAGCGAAAATTTGGAATTATTTAATATCAGAAGGGGATTGTGGAGATTTTAGAAATTTCACAGATTGAAATCATGAGTCAGTCATCTGCTCACTAGTGATTGACTTCAAGAGATACTCCTGGAGTTCTAGTGAGGAGCCAGGTCTGTTGTGAGATATCAGCTCACTGAAGACAATGGTACACGGTGGCGCAACTTCGTGGATTGGTTGAAGTTAGACATTAACACCGATGTATGCCGGCTAAGTGGTCTAATGGTTAAGTGCTCGCGCGCGAAACCAGTAGGTCCTGGGTTCGAATCCCGCGTGATGCTGGATCGTGGGTGAGTACTGCTGAGGGGTCCCATACTAGGGAGAAACGGCCGTCCAGTGCTCCCATGTTTTCCATGGTGGTCTAGCTTCAACTGACTCATGATATCAATCTGTGAAATTATTTAATACTCTATCATTGAGATTATTTCAAATATAATATTTACGTATAAAATGTCATTATACTTGGAGCTCCAGGTTTCCCAGACCTTGGAAGGGTTCTTCTAGAGGTACCTGAAAAGGAAATTGGGCTAGACGTGGTCTTAGTCACCTGAGAATGTGACCGCATGCCCAAGAGACAACTGCTTGAGGTCGGTCACACACGACCTTTTTGTGAGTAATTTTCATGTTAGCTCCGTACTTGTTGGGACCTTACCGCCGGAGACAGATATCCATGGGATAAGGCGGGGTGTGCATTTTTAGAGTCAACCTTTTCTAACCTCACCCTTGCTTTTGGGAAGGCAGCATCGCTGTTATGCTGGTTTTCTGAAGGAAACACCTTACTACCGTCACACCACAGTTGTTTTGTTTTAACTACTTGGCCTGACCATCTTAAATTCATGTTATTCATTTGGTGACTAAATATTATTATTATATATTATATTGATGACTATTATTCATCCAACGGAGGAAACCAAATTGCCCTATGAACTTGTGAAATCATTGATGTATAAATAAAAAATGTTCTTATATCATCTTTGAAAGGGCCTTGAGTTATCTTTTTATTGATATTACGGACTGAATTTTCATTGGTCTTTGTCAATAATATGCATCCTGTCCGGGTGGTCCCAATGTAAATGTGTGTGGATCCGGCTGACGAGTCCAAAGTAAAATGAAATGCGCGTCTCGGATTTCAATGCTAGCCACAATCTATCTATTCTAAACAAGTGCTTTTATTAGTTTTGGATTTAATGTTATTCTGAATTTGAAATACTTTGATAGTGCTACAATGATATGTAGGTGTGAAATGTACTATCATTCAACATCGTAAGCAAGTAATGATAAATAAATTGCATACCTACCATTTCTAAAAACAAATGGTGTCACACAGAATAGATCTATAATTTATGGAGTGAAATTCAACCATCTCTCTAGTTTTATTCAAATATGAGTAGACTAAATTTATGAGTTTTCTTCTTTTTTCGTTGTTAATGAGAACATCAACACTGAGTTATAAGTATACTCTCAATTGATAAGTCCAAAATGGGAAGAAACATACGACTGGCAATAATCCCAACATTTATACAACTCACTTTTCTATATTCATCATTATTTGTAGAGAAATGTTTAGGGGGAAAATGTTTCTAACTGGTGATATTGTAAAACGAGAAAGATTCAGAGTTTGAGAGGAAGTGGATAAACTCTATAACAGTGTTATATTTTATAATCTCTTCATACAAAATCATCCGCACTTACTGCGGAAAGTCGAGCTGATGACCTTGTATCAATCCAATCAGACAGTTAGTCATAGTCAGCATAGAATCTGGCACATTTTGTAGATCAGTTCAAGTCACCACAGTATATCATATCAGTAAAGCGAAATGAAATTATCGAAACGAATACCAGAATAGTAGAAGTAGTAATACTATTAATGACAGTAGGAAATGTTAGAGACAGACAATATGATTCAAAAAGAAATAATGAATCCATCGAATCAAAAGGTAAGGAATAATTTAAGAACTCAAGATCTAAGAGAATGACGTTGTATATGTAAATAAATCATTAAGATGGAATAAACCAACATCATACCACAACCGTACAATATTAACATTTTCTTACATATTTTTACTTTCTTTCAACTACCCTTTATCACTAACATGTGCATCTGATTAAGCTGAATGTTATATATATATATATACATGTAAAACGAAATAATTATAAAGAATCATATTATTTTCACTGGTGTTTATTGGAATCTATTTTGAAAAATACACATGAAAAGAAAAGGTTAATGTTCACTTAAAACATAACTATCTACCTATCTATGTTGCCTAACTAACTATCCCATACAAAAACTCATGTGAAACAACAATAACAATAATAATAAAAGTCATAGATGGATAATGTTAATGTTTGATGATAAACATTAGAAGGATAATGTAGAATAAATATGATCTATGAAAGAATTTATCAATAGACAAGATTATACATAGATAGAAAGTGGAAACAATAATTACAGTGAGAGTAGTAGTAGTAATAATAGTAGAATAAGAAGTAGGGGAGAAATAATAAGTATTTTTCTTTACATAAAATAATATGGACCAGAATAAATAATCCTAATATGGAATTATGATTACCAATATTCAATTATAACATGAGTTTATTCACTAATTCAACTCTATGAATTGAAGAATCGTTTCTACACTTTGATACCTCAGAAAATAAAGAACTTGACCTCTGTTAGTCAGTCAGTCAGTCAGTAACAACGTAGAACTTCGTACGTACGTACATCAGTTCGAGTTGCCACATCACATTAGCACAGAGATGCAGTGGTCGATTCAAATCCCTTAGTGCTAGATGTAGTAAGATTATAAGCTGTAATCAGAAAAATTAGGGTTTGTAGATGTTATTCAAAGAATATAATTCAGTGAAATAAATTTGAAAAGAGAAAAAAGAAATCAGAAGATTAGAATTTGGGAGAACACAAAGAGTGGATGCACCTGCGCCATTGCAAACCATTTTGAGCCATGTCATTCAGGGTCTCTAACCATCGGTTGCTATCATCTCGCGGTCCCCAACCAGGTAGTCTACACCTACCGACATGACTCAGACCACTTGTCAGTGACTTCATGGACTTGTGCCATGTTTTGGTTTGGCCGCCCCTAGCTTTCTTCCAACCTATTCCTATACCACTGAACATCGCACGTCGAGGCAGTCGGTCGTTGGGCATACGTAACACATGTCCCAGTCATCTCAACTGATGAAGTTTCACTACGTCATCAATTGATTTGCCGTCCTTACCTAGTACCCGTTTCCTAACAACTGCATTACTTACTCGATGGTCCCATGATATACGAGCAATGTTTCGAAGACACCTATGATCAAATACTAGTAGCCTACGGATATCCTCTACTCTTACCGGCCATGTTTCACTGCCATAAAGAAGGACGGGACGAACTGCTGCGCAGTAAACACGTCCTTTGGTTGATAGACGAATATCTCGCCTACGCCATAAATGACGCAAGTTGGCAAAAGCTAGTCGAGCCTTCTGTATCCGTGCTGAGATTTCGTCACACACCAGACCATAAGGGCTGATGAGACTACCAAGATAAGTGAAGCGGTCGACACACTCAACTACTTCACTCCCTATCACTAGTTCGGGTGTCGATGTAACCCAATCCTGAAGCAACATTTTGCATTTTGAGGGACAGAATCGCATCCCGAACATGCTTGTATTGTTGCTTAGAGTGGTCAGAAGACTCTGCATTTTGTCAGCGTCTTCACCAAATAAAACTATGTCATCTGCATATTCTAAGTCAACAAGTGAACCTCCCGGTAGAAGTTCAACCCCTGGAAATTTAGATGAGGAGAGTGTTATCTCTAAAAATACGTCGACCACAAAGTTGAACAAGAATGGGGAGAGTGGACAGCCCTGACGAACACCACTTGAGGTAATCAATTCTGATGACAGTTCGCCATAAGTTCTCACTCGACCAGTTGTGTTCGAGTGGAGAGCCTTTATAAGGTTAATGTACTTCTTTGGTACTCCTTTCAGTGACAAACACTGAATATAGTATTTGTAATATTCTACATTGATTCCTAATAAATATGCTACTGGAATGCTTATAGCTCCCTTCTAAGAAACTTCCTATGACCCTAAGCTACTTAAACACGTTAAGTGGAACAAGAGAAAAAAATGTGCATAATACGAGTAAGAGCTTCACTCTAAGGTTAGTTCATGTACAGAAAGTCGAGAGCACTGATAGTTATGTGTGACATTAGGCTTCTAGAAATTTCTGAAAACATACTAAACGTAGTAATGGTATAGGTAAACATATAATCAAAAATGGAACACATGATTCTTCATTTCCTAGATGCTTATGAGAAGCCTCTACTCAACCCTGATTAGATAAACCATTTTCTGACGTTTTGTGTGCCTATAGAGATATCGACGATACTTCTTTTTGGGACTCCCCAACAATTTGAAGTTCGTCGCTCAAACCATTTGGTTTCAATGAGAATGGTATCAAGAAACCTAATTATTAACATATTTTGAAGATGGAAGAAAACATATTGATGTAATTGTAAGCATGTGAACGACCCAATATCTATGCCGCGATGCACACGAACAGAAACTGGAAATCCAGTGATGAATGTATGAAACTGGAATGACAATATTTCCAATCAATTGACTACTGAGTAGTGACAAATTTCATATACTGATTGAATCCAATCGATCAAGTTGCAATGTGGCCACTTGTCTAAGTGACTTAACATCCTGCGCACTATATTGAGATGTTAGGTGGCTGGAAGTAGTTTGATAAAAACTATGGTATAGATTGGGTGCTAGCTGACACTCCTCAGCAATGTATACCTACAATCTTAAGCGAATTGATGCTCCTTGTGGAATTCGAAGCAGTATCATAAAACCAGAGCCTGGGGTTTTCTGCCAACTAAATATAATCGCCTAAATTCTCAACATATTGCATGTAATGACTAGTCAATCAGATTAAGTGGTCACATTAAAACTTGATTAAAAAAATTTGATCAGAGCTCAAAATGACTGGACAAATATAATACTAGTCAATACTCAGAGATCAAACAACTAGTTATATATACATCACACTAAATATCTTCACGTGAACTAAACTAATTCATACCATGTAACCATCCTTAAGAATGTGTACACCGTTTTTTAACAATTGAAGAAAATGAAGGTATAAAAAAGAACGTGATAGTGTTGAATATCATATGTGTGTATGTTTCACGCATGCACAAATATCACACGCATACGTTGATAGTATATATGTCGGAATATACATTTAATTATTCTTCGAAAATAGAATAAGTACCCACCATGTCTACACAATGAATAGATCTTAGATTTTTTTCACATCATCAGAATGTCGTAAATTGAAATCAATCAAATAATGACGAAGAGTTGCAGAGCATTAAATAACTGTTCCACATTACAATGAAAATTTCTTAGGGAAATACTAAAAAAACTATATAACAATACAATTGATTACCGAAACAATTAGTTATGTTTAGATGAGCAAATTTTGTGATTTGAGTTAGTTTTAGTAAAACAAAGTAAACACAATATGTTGATGATTTGCTTAAGCATAAAAAAATTAATATCTGTAGAATTTGAGCTTTGCAACCCTCTAATTATCCTATGAACAATTTATAAGATTTTGAAATGATCGAAAAGATTTTCAGCTCATAGGTAGATGCATCTAATCGTATTTTGTTGACTATACTAATCTGAATGATTGTGCTGAGAAGCTTTCTTTGTTATTTTAGACGTTATTAGTTCCTGTGTCGTACATAATATAATCGATAAGGATTTATTTAAGGAATTGTCAAAACTCTGGATCTAAAAAATTCGAAGTATGTCATAGAACTTTAGATGCGAATCCATGTTGACTATCTTCAAACAATTGGAAGTTATACATGCGTCTTGTCGGGAACCCCCCAAGCAAAAACAAAACAACCAAACAGTACAACATAATTGTTGTTAATGTTGATCTGCGACGAAATCTGACTTTTTCCATTATTATCTCTATAACTGATAGGCTAGACTAGTCTAGGCATAAATCATGTGCCTGTGTCTAAAATTTCATTACAAGATCAAACAGCAGATGAAAAATTACAAACGAGAGGTGCTATTGAAGGGAGCCAGTTATGTTTCTAGTCAAGATCACAGACTATATCCCCTTGTCTGGGTCAGCAGGACAAACGTATATATACTAATGAGTTGTTTAATTTTTCATTCTTTTGGCTGGTTACAGCTTTCTAGTTATTTTTCAGTCTCCTTATTGGTATGGGTGGTTGACCAAGTGAATAAAAAAAAACGTGTGTATCTGAATCAAGCATCGTATAATGTAATAATAACTAATTCAGAATTAATAAAAATTACATACATCTCTCTGATCTTCAATAGATCTATTCAGCGCTTCCTCTTCATCTTGAATTTCTTGTAAACTTAAGTTTTCTTCCGTAATCTGATGATAATCTAATCCAACCAAATTATTATTATTATTATTATTATTATTGCCATTATTATCACTATTATTAGGTATAAAGGCTGAATTGATAGACTGTTGATTCACAGTTGATGACATGTTATTCCAGCACTGAATAGACGATGAATTGTTAGTGGTTGTCGACGTTGTTGTTGCTGTAGACTTTGTCACTGATTCAATAGTTGATTTATAATAAGTTAAAAGATAAACTTCTGTCCGAGCTTCATCAAATCTAAAGAAAACATTGTTTGATTGTTGTTGGGGGTCTTTTTCAAGAAAAATACATTTTAAGTGAATTAACACATATGGAGGTAAGTCTTTAAGCTTTAATCTGACTCCAATAGTTATTGTTCTATACTACCTCGTGATGTTTCACGATTCAAACGGCCCCATCACTTTGGACAAGATGGTATAAGACTAATAGTCAGTGGGAGAAGTTTACAGAAAAGTATATTTTAGTAAGCCAGCGAAACTAGAAAGGGAGCAGCCAAGCAAATACAACAGTTCATAATCTTAATCAAAACTCAACAGTCTACAACCCTATACTGATAATTATCATGTGCTCACCAGTGACTAACCTCAAGAGGTAATTCTGGGAGTTCTAGTGAGAAGTCATGACCGATAGAGTTCAACCATGTCGGGTGTGAGGCATTTGCCCAGAGAATACAATGGAAGATGATCGTGCAATACCGTGGATAAAAGTAGACAATTTGAAAACTCGCAGGGACTGTGTACATATTCAATAAACACGATAAACACACACAAAGTGTCTATTGTTCGAATATTCAGTTAAATAATTAAGTGTATATAATATAAGATTAGATGTAACATAAACAAACCAAAAATAGTTTATAAAACTAAATAATCATCAAAAGTAAATTGTTCAAAGGTATACAAAATAGAACTATTATGAAATAAACTATGATCAATCAAACACGGACATAACATTTGTAGGTAATTAGCTAGCAGTTATTGTATTTAGTCTATTTCCATATCCAAAGGATTAATTAGAGACTAAATGTTTGAATCTTTTAAATGAGAAGTGTTAACAAATACAAGATACTTATGTAGGATTTTGACCGATTTTATTAAACATCCAAACAATTAAACACAATACAACGAATAGTATGAAACTCTAGTTGGTTACACGATGTTTTAGCTTCCTAATAAGATCATTCAAACAGTAACAACAATTAGCTTCTATAATGTATAGAATTGAAAGACTTTCACCATAAGGTCAAATGCTGTAAATAGAACAGCATTAATGTAAATAGTTGCCAGATCATATACATACAATGAAAAGTCAGCGTAAACCTTTTGATTGAAGCTTATAAAATAAAAGTTTGGTCGACAAGAGAGTTAGAATGAACGACGAAGAGGGTTATCAAACACAGTAGCATAACTACGATGAGTCAGGAAGGACCAGTTTACTTGTTACGTCTCACATAACCTAATTATCCAGTTGCATTCACGTTTTAAAAAAAAACTCAACTCAGTTTATATTAAAGTGATCCATCCGAGTTTATCAACTAATATGACAAGTATGAAATGCTCTATGTATTTATTTGTACAGAAAAATCTGAAGAATTAACACTTCATAAATAAAGTAAGATAGTGATATGAGTTTTACAGTTTGTTTGATAGAGTTCCTGATCAATGTGACATACGGGATATTATTTCTAACTATATTCACAACTAAATTTCGTATTGACGTCAGTTAACAACTTTGTTATATGAAATAATGAAACATCACAATCTAGGCAAACGTGAAAAGACAAAATATTGAAGATGTGCTATTCGAGTATGATCGTGAAGTTTTCATTATCTAGACAATATTGTCAGCATATACTTCAAAAAGAAATTTCATTCATCAGGATTCTTGATACCTATGTAGTTGTATCACAGGACTATATTGTACTATTAAGGTTGTAACAACCCAGGATGATGTCGACATCTGAAAACTAATGTAAAATTACTATATTATAGAGTTAACTCACAGTCGTTAGATTGCTTTTTGAAGTAATTGATGGCAATGTTGCTTAAAAAGAGAATAAAAGCTTTGCAATTGAACTATCAAGCTCAAAGAACACAACACATCCGAAATCCTCATCCTGGCTTACAAAAATTTTCTATCTCATATATTATTATTATTATAGAAAGGGTTTGAGTTATTCGCTAGTTAGTATTCTTGACTAAATTTTGATCAATATTTGCTGATAAGTGAGTAATCTGTACAAATTGTCTAAATATATTAAAGCCGTTACCCATGCGAGTGACCATCTGAACTCAGTAGCTCAGCAGATATCGTATTGAGAGTTGAGAACACTAAAAACTGGTTCGAGTCCCGCTATGAGTGTGAATGCAGATACATCTAAGTGAGTTCAAATAGGTCGAGAAGTTTGCCTTGCCTTCTATCTGCTCGCCAAAATGCATCTTTTTTATCCTCTATCCATAGTCTAAACCTCATTTAGAAAGAGGGACAAATCAATCAAACGGTTTGTATCAAATCTTCAGATCTTTTGAATTTATATGTTCACCAACGACATCCAAAGTAATCTCAACTAACATACAATAAATATGCGAAAAAAAACCACTTACTCGCATCGAACAAATGCTTCTTCAACAACATTTTTTTGTGTCCCAGGAAATTTAGACATCAACCGGTTTAATATCAAACGTATGACGGGAGTATTTAAGGACTGTGGACAAAAATAAACAACACATAACATTAACAAATAAGTGAGACAAAACATGAAATAGGACACAGCACAACCACTAAAATGAAACAGCTAGTTTATTTCAAGTCATATATTTCTTTTCAGTATAAGGTTGTGAATGTGGTTGGATTTCATTAAAATCACGAACCGATCAATGTTAGACAACCATTGCAAAACTGAAAGCACTGGATGACTGATTCGTTCTATCATGAGGCTTCTCGACAGTACGGATCAACGACTTCTCATCAGGGATTAAATCCACGACTTTTGATCTCGAACGTGAATGCTCAACCCTGAACCACCAAGCCGAGACCAATGATGTACAAGTTCAACTTCAATCAATCCATGATACTGCTCAACCACCAGTCTTCAATTTCTTTCATTGGGTACCTACCTTCCTCACACTTGACACCGTTAAACTATACTGGTCATGGCTTCTGACTAGAAGTTAGACCATTTTCTCTCAAAGCTAGTCACTAGTAAGCGCATGATAATTGTCATTACGAAGTTGTGGAGATCATAGTTAGGATAATTTCAACTTTATTTAATAAGCTGTAAGCTTTCGAACCCACAACCCTAGTCTATGTATTCAAAAGAAATCTGTAACACATCTGTCTCCTCCCTAGTTGGATAAGATCCAGTAAACGACTATACTAACTTTTTACATCCTTCATTTATTCTTTATTCTTTACTACCCTTTAGTATACAGTCTTTGCTATCTGATTATTTACTCACTTATTAAGTAATTTTAATGGCTTCAGTGATTATTATCCTAGTGTCCATTTTCCACAGCCCTAACCTACTTCTTATCTTGGAAAATCGATTCATGCTTCTATTATTCCTATCACTACTGGAGCATCTATTATCTTGATGTAAATTTGTACTTTTTACTCACCATGTAAAGTTTTATAATCTAATTTACTGTTATTAATGACTTACAAACTGTTTTGTGTGGTTCGATATAAATACTGCTATGTATTAAAGTAAAACCTGGTGGAGGTCTAAACGGAAACAGTATTGTTCACTTATATGTGTGTTATTGTAACATTTTTCCCAATTAAAAAAACAGTTGACTCTCGGGAATCGATCAATTTTCTTTTAGTCGACTGGTTAATTACATGAGTTTTCATCTGGTTCTCCTGAAGCGATTACTAAAAGTTTTAAAACCAGTAGAAATTCAATTGAATGCTTCATAGTTCGGTCAGGATGTGGAATTTTATGAAGAGCCAATCAGCATAAAGATGGGGACTTCCAGGTTTTTGTGTGAAACTCAAGAAGTAATATCATTTATCATAAGGAGGCGGACATCACTACTCAGATCAGAAACTTTTATTTACATGGCTCTCAGAATATTGAGGAATTTCATGGACCTTTCAGTAAATCTGTACAGAAATATTGTGAAAGCTTTGAGAAATAGTTAATACAAATATTAAAAAACTAGGTAGACACATTGAAGGATCTCATAAGTTAAATAGAACCACAATGAATGTTAGTTTTATCATCTCTCTAGCGACAGCAGCATAGAAATTCCAAAGTCAATAACGGTATCACTGAACGTTGACAGAGTGATGTAAATTTACTATTTATTAAACTACTTTTGAGCAGTTAAATAAGTTGGTAACATGATTTTACAAAATTTTGTCAACGATCAAATATTTAGTGATAATTTGTAGGTACAAATATCACGCCTCCATGAACTCGGAAGAAATCTATTTCAGTACTTTCTAAGTTCCTTTGTGAAGCTATACAATACTATTAAACAGTAAGATGAGTAATTTTATTTCATAACATGTCATACTGACACGGTGAATGATAAAGAACTTATTTTATATCATCAAAGATAAAGACTTATTAAGCCAAACCCAAGTTATGCTACTCATAAGTAGATGAAACTCCACATGTAAAATTCTGTTCCAAGTTGAACATATGTATATTGAAACAAGTAGAGGTTAATAAGTTTTCTGTTTAATGTATAGACTCGAATATCTTGTAGTAAACTGCAGATGCAACTAAGAGAATGTTACCAACAAATATTTTTTAACGAAGGAAAAACGATAACAAACCTAATAACACAAATGAAGATGAAAGATAGAGTTATTCAATTTACTAAATAATTCAAATTAATAAGTAGTGTAGTTACCGCTCGAAAATCTTCTACAGAACGCAGTAGACCTTCTTCATCATCCATAATTTGTAAGAATGTTGAAAATGATCTCTTTGATGTTATATTTGTTGATGGTGTTACAGTAGTTTTCTTTGTATTTTCTGAAAATAAATGAGGACATTTTTCCGAAAAATGGTTTAAATAATCAATTGGAATCAATCGGAAGGTCATCAACAGAAAGATTAAGGAACAATAAAATACATGAGTTAGTTCTCTCTCAGGATATAGAAAAAAGGTATCATATAACTCACAAATCAGTCAAGGTTTCAAAGTCTACATCAGACACTGACCATTTTTAGACAGCTATTGAAATTCAGGAGTCACTGGACAACCATTTCGTTATAACATAAGACTCTTCAGCAGTACACATCCGTAGCCTCCACTAAACATTAGACTCAAAGCCTTCAAAACTTACTTTTAAACTTGGAGATTTAAGGTTCGACCCCCTACAAGGTTGTGAACGTATATTGCTGAGTATTTCAATATTGGGACAAAATAGTTTTCTAGTGCCTCTTTCTTTTTCGATAGCTGTCTTGATAAGGTCAGTAAACTATAAAAACTAACAACCTACACCGAACTCTTTACGGAAGTAAGGATTTCGCTACAACACTTTCAGTTAAATATTTTGACCAATGACTGGAGAGGCTATTGAATTTTCAGAAAAATGAAATAATTAAATGAGTGTTCAAATTCTTGATTGAATGAATGAAAATCAAGCGATTTAAGCACCCAGACATCATTCCAGTGCTAGTTTTACTGACATGAACTCTTGAATTCATACAGAATCAAAAATAAGGGATTCGTTTCTCGGTGAAGAGATTGTTCGATCGAGTTGAAGTAGAATTATCTAGTTTAGATTATTTACTATCAAACCCTAATTCGGTTTTCTCAGCAAGATCGAGAGTTCCTTCAATAAACCGTTGCAACAAGCCAATAAATATTCCTATTCACTAAGCTTTTTTCATTAAAGATTTAATCGACACATCAAAATGAATAAACGAACGATTTACAACTGATATGTTATGCGGATAACTTCCTGATTGATCCAGTAACCTGCACAGGAATGTGTTGCGAATTGTCCTCTTCCAATAGTAATGGATCTACTAACTCCATACTTTATTAGCTACGTTAGATAATCTAATTGAGTCAATTTTTTTTAATCAGCTCACCAGAATAATTTACAGGTTATCCAAAAAATGTTAGACATTCAATATAGCTGTTATAGACCAAGAAAAGAAAGTTAGTAAACAAGACAGAAAATATCTAACATCTTACATGTCAAAGTGACAATTAGAAACAGGTGTAAATTAGGTGATATACCTACGCTGCAAAGATCCACAAGAATGATGTTTATCTATTTCCATCATCGATTTCAATTATTTCATATAACATCATACTTCGAAATTACACTTTGATACACATATGATTGTAGGCAGCTGACGAGAAACCACAAAACATAATGAATTCATATTATCTTTCCTCAATTGTTGTTCCGGTTATATTCAAATATCTGTTGTGCCAACAGATTATGATAATATGAAAACTAGTTAACCTTAACATCGACATATGAATCAACGTTGTTCGTAAACAGAACTAGATTAGCAAAAATAATTTTTGATCAATAATATAGAAAAAAAAACGCTTGCACATAGTGTTCCTAATAAAGCTTTAACATTATTGACAAAAACTGACTAATCCTGTGATTCTGTCACCATTATTTCATGATATTTATTTTCACCTATAATTGATCTAATTTGTATTTATCAAATTGTCTTGGGTGGTTTATACAGAAAAAACGACTTTAATTTCTCAATGTTTTATGTGATCAGTTGACTAGTGCTTCAGTCTCTTATGAAATTGATTCAAGAGGAAATATAAAGTAAATAATATGTAATAATTGAATTCATGAGTCAACTGAAGCTATACAACCATGGAAAACCCAGAAACACTGGACGGCCGTTTCATCCTAGTATGGGACTTCTCAGCAGTGCACATCCACACCTGCAAGCCATCATTCTTCCATGGCCCTAACACTTAGAAACAGTAATTTGATTTTATTATATTCCCCCCATGTCTTTTTAGTCTTAATTTTAATTATGCATTAACATCACCTTCAGGTTCTTAATGTATTCTTCACCTTTCTCATAATCGTCAGGTGGACAATTATCTTTTGACATTTGATTTCATCTTATTATCTCTCTTCAATTGTCAATTATTAAACAACTTTATTTGGCAATAATATAAGGTAATTGTCCTTTTATTTTTTTCAGTAGACTATTTCATTTGTAAATTTACTATAAATACGATTGTACAAGCTTGGGTAAATGATATAGCTGAAAAGAAAAATTTCCCCGCTGAATTGTCTTCATTCTTCTTCAATGACACCATTTGTTACTTTCGTTGTTTGAATAAACATTTTTCAGAAAATAAATACGAAATGTATACCTAGTTACGCGCTGGATAAGACTATTTTAATAATGTATAAAGCCTTGATTATATATATATATATATATATATATATATATATATATATATATATACGTTAGTCGGTCAACTAATAGAGTGGAAGGAATCTTTTTCAATAATATATGATATGCTGAGATGAAAAATAAAATTGTTTGGGTTAATACTGTTTTACACCAATTCATTTTGGATTTCGGTCAGGATGATAAGTGAGAACTTTGTTCAGTGTGCCAAATCAGTATAAACGTTGTTCAACATGACAAGTGTAAACGTTTGTTCAGTTGAACAATTGTACTCCCTGTATCAATTAAAGTGAACTATATTTAGTGTGTATATTTTTACAGTAACTCTATGCAGTTTCCTCTATGTGACATTATTGTGTGAAAATTAGTATAAAAATTATTGTATTTTGGTCTAGCGATGATATGATTTTAGAAGTTGTTTAGGGACATGCTTTTAGAGAACCAACAAATCTTGATTACACTAGTCTTTCATGTTCTTATTTTGTGTTATAGGAATTGGAATGATGCACGATTATCAACTAAAAGAAAAAAGACTGCAGGTCCAACAGAGACGACACACCCAGATACAGTAGAGGTGAGCCGGATAAAAATTCCTATATATAATTTCATTTACGATATCCCAATCAGATAATACAAGTAACAATTATTCAGTGTCCATTTTGACTACCACTAACTTGGTGTAATCAATAACTAATTTTCAGTGAAATAAAAGAATTCTAAAATTGGTCGGTGTAGCGAAATCTAAAGGTTTTCAAAATTAGCGGACTGAAATGCATATATTCTATTCACGGTTCATGCACAACGGTGTACTATACGACATACAATTGATAGTCATTTAAAATGGTAATAGTAGCGTTAATAGTAGTAGGACTAGTTGTATGAAACAGAATCATCATACGCCTCAAACAGATTTAATTAACCTCATCTAATTCTCTTTTCTCACTTGAAGTACAAATTAAAGCACAAGAGTAGTATAGTTTTCATTAGATTTACAAAGACAAACTATAAAGCAGAAAATTAATGATTTAGTTAATCCTACATACATACTGAAAAATGGTGCGTAAAAGTAGAAAATACATGTAGGTTCTACATTTTCGATAATAAATGTGCAATGTAACTGTTACTTACCACGACCGGTTATGCAAGCCGGCTGACGATTAAGTTAGAAGAAAGCTATGAGAAGCCAAACCACGTGTTATTAGTCCATGAAGCTATTTACCGTTAGACTGACCTGTGTTAGTAAATGTAGACTACTTGGTTGGGATCTATGCGATAACAGCGACCAGCTGTTAAAGACCTTAGGTAAAATAGTTTAGAATCTGTTATAACAAACCAGAAGTATTTACTGTTTATCTTGTTCTAGATCCTTAGTTCAAGGATTCCTTCATACCTAACTTTTCATAATCTTTTCAAACCATATTCTAAATGCCTAATCTTTCTGATTACCATTGCTAATATATTATTTCAACTAATTCGACGTTTATCGTGTTCATTTTCTTTCGTTTTATTGATATGGAAAGGCAAATTGGACCAACACATATTTGTGTGAGAAAATAAGTTGATTATAACTGACTAATTCATTGACATAAAATTGATGTTGTCCAATTTTTCCTGCAATTTAATCAATATGTATGACATCATAATTTACAATACGCTACATGAGCCTTGTCAAACTAGAATGGTGTTAAAGAGTTTCAAAGTGTTCCTCGGAAAAGTCCTCAGGAGCCCAGAAAACGCTGGAAAACATTTTATCCAAATAGCATTGGATAGAAGCGTTTTAGAAACGTCTAGAAGGCGAGTCACGTTTCTGATGAGATATTTACATATATTGCTACCACATTTAGTAAAGTTCCAGAGACTTAAAGAAACTCAAGATTGTAACTGCAAATACACTCTGTACATCACAATTGATTTATCACTGGGTGGTGATCAATGTCATGTGTTTCAAATTCTTCTTAGTGCAGATCGAATGCTATCGACCAAGCTGCAATGTAGCCGCTAGTCTAGGTGACTCGACATTGCGTGCACTGTATTGAGATTAGATAGTGGTTGGAGGTAGTCGACAGGAAACCCTGGACCCGTGTTTCGTGCTACGTGGCACGCGTTGGCAAGGTGTACCCGTAACCTTGAGGGAACGTGTGCTCCCTGATGGACTCGGTCTTCTGACTATGAAGCTGGGTGACACGGGATCGAATCCAGGGTCCAGGGTTTCCTGTCGACTACCTTCAACCACCATCTAACGCTCTGTTCATAAACTAACCTTGTAGTCAAGCACTTCGCACCTTTTCTGTTGTGTTCAAGTTGCCATGTCGATTATTAGAAGCGGATAAGAAATCTGATCAACCGTTCATTTCGAAGAATTATCAAATGGCACACTGATATATAATATATATATATATATATATATATATATATATATATATATATATACCATAAATTATTGGTTTTTTCCTCTTCCATATTATTAGCCATAAACCTTAGGGTATTTTAAACATTATACACATTTTAACTAAACTTACGATTTGAATTTCGTATATTTGATGGTGGAAATTTCGGCGTTAATACAGTAGTTGTGCTATTTGAGAGAACACCTAAATGTCGCATAAAACTGGCATAAATTTCTTTGATCAAATTAGGTTCAGGTGTCCATTCATCGATGATAAAGTCGGGAATTGCATCAGGAGCTGTAGAAAATAACCAATACACACAACTACATATCAGAAACACTAAAATTTTACTAAGCTACCACATTTTAATAAGTTTGTGTCAATATAAAAAACTCAATGCATTCAAATGTACAGTGCTATTCTCCTGTTGAAACCCTTCAATGACTCGAAACATTCCTTAAAAGCTGAAACAGCGTTGAGTATACTTCGTTCAATCAGATCTGTTTTGAAATTTTCGATAGAATTCTAGAACAATATAGGTTGTGTTGTACCATGATTGGGTGCTTACTGGTTTTGTTATTAATTTTAGCATGTTTGCAATTTTTCAGATCTTAAAGTCACGAGCAAACTTATGAATAATTCAGTACATCAAGTAACCTTCGAAGTTATTGCAAATGCTAGTCCCCCAGGAATCACTCGGTAAAAGTCTTATTTTTGTGATTTTATTTTGGAAATTCGGATTGCTCGTTTTTGTGCCGAAACGCCCGTTTTTACTTTAAAGTTTTATTTCCCACTTGGAAGAACCTTAAATGTTCGTTGCCTCTTTTAATACGCTATTTTGTGACGTTTCCCAAGGACCTTTTATGTAGTACAATTATGATTGAGTTGTGTGCTTAGTTCGTTCGTACTTCTACCTTCTTGTGGAATATAACTTTCTCTCATCTGACCTTGGTCTTCTCCCTCTAGTTAGCGGAGCTGGGACGCGTCGGAATAGTTTAACTTGTCTTGTCGTTGTGTCGTTGATTCTTCGTTCCGTTCGCCAATTTTAGGTGATCTCATAATGTCTTCAAACATCAAAGTAAAGTTATATTTTGTACTTCGTGTACTCCATTTGCTCCTCATCAGAACCAGAGAGTTAAAATTTATGAGAACTAGGACGTAGCTAGAAAGTGTGAGTCTAAGCACCTAAATACAAAACGTATCACTTTCGACAGATAAGATATGAAATCTCTTACTTATAGAACAACCACTTTTAATTCAATGGGAATTGATGCATCACCACCCAATATTTCTATGATGATTATTGCTTTAATATTATTGTAATCGTCACAACACATGTAGTATATATTGTCTACTTGTTATGAAATTGATAACGGCCTGTAACTCGTACACAATTAACACAGTCAAGTGAATAAATTTGTACTTGATTATTAGGTTACGTTCAATGTGAATACATTTATAGTCATAATGCAAAGGTTGAAAGAATATTTAGCATCTTCTTAGTTTCTCACAAAGTTTTCTTTTTCCTAAACAACAAACAAGAGACCTACTGATATGATCCTGAATTACAAACTACTGTTCTAAGTTAAGATGGTTTACACATTACGGATTAAAATCAGCTGAGATACCAACGAAAACCAGGGAGCTATGTAAAATTAATTTTAGACCTCTAAAACAGAACCCAATAGTGCTTCTAAATGACGGCAAAATATCTCCAAAAAACGATAACTAAAAGTCAAAAAACCTTATTGTCCTACTTTAAAATTGAGTTGATAAAGGCAATCCAAGCAGTGAGAAATATCTCAGCTTATTTAGTCAATTTATTCATAGAAAGAGAATTGTAAACAATAGAGTAATACGATCAGCTCTTATATAATAGATATATACTTCAAAACCTAATACACTGACTTGTAATTATAGTTAAAAGTTACAGTTTCGAAAATGCGAATAGAAAGAAATTCATACTGATCATTTATGGAAGTCATGATAACTAAAGACTTTTGTTAATTTCCAGTGTTATCATGAAGCAAAAAAATCATCGATTACTTTTCAGTTGTTTGAATTGATGAACAAAATTAGTTTTTCATCGTCAACAACATTTAAACTATAATCGAGCACATAGTTTTGTAATGGTCAGGTTATAACTTAGCTTTTGGGCACAATAACAATAATCCAATCGGTGTTACAATTTTAAAACAAAGAATATGATAATTTGAACATGTTTTACGATTATCGTTCCAGCAGTTTCCACTTTGTGCATTAATTGCTCATGCTGGAACTGAGTGGAAAAGGAGAGAACAGTCATCTTATGACATGATACTATAATATGAAAGGCGATTGTATGGGACTTTTATCAATCAGCCTATCACGACTCTATGATTCGATCTCTAAAGATAGTAGAACTCAATAGCTTTAGGAATTATCAGGCTTGGTTCAGAATACAAGTCAATGCCATTTCTGCTATACGTTTCTATTACATCTTTTCATAATAGTGAGATGAAATTCGATTAATTGAGAGGAATTTCACTGTATGTCCGATCATCTACCACTGTTGTTCACATTTCCTGTCCTTCAATCTCTTCACAATTTCATCTCTTTATTTGCGCAACATATATTTATTTTGTTTGGATAGAAGGACCCTATGAAAACTTCTTCGACATCATACGGAATTCCTACGACGGACTACAGTGCAAAGTGGTGCATGAAAGACAGCTGACAGACTTATTCCAAGTGAAGATCGGTGTCCAACTAGGCTGCTTACTCTCCTCCTTCCTCTATCTTCTAGTGGTTGACTGGATTATGAAGACTTCTACATCTGACGGGAAGCACAGAATACGATGAACATCTCGAAACCAACTAGACGATTTTGACTGAGAAGATAACCTAGCTCCTCCATCACATACATACGAACAAATGCAGATGAAGACAACTAGTGTAGCAGAAGCCTCCGCATCAGTAGACCTCAACAAACACAGGCGAAAAAGCAACATCCTCAAATACAACACACAGAACATTAACACAATCACAATTGGTGGAAAGTTTCATGTACCACCTACTCAGCATAATCGATCAACAAGGAGGATCTGATACAGACGTAGAGGCAAGGATTGGCACATCAAGAACAACATCCCTACAGTTCAAGAACATTTGCATCTCAAAACAACTCTCAAACAATATCAAACTCACAATCTACAATACGAATGTCAAGACAGTTCTACTGTAAGGAGCTCAAACTTCCGGAACTAACACAACCATCATCAAACATGTACAAGTATTAACAAACAACTGCCGATTCAAGATACTCCATGTTCGTTTGCCAGATACCATAAGCAACAGTCTACTGTGGGATAGAACAACCCAGATTTCACCTGAAGAGGAAATTAGGAAAAGACTTTGCAGGTGGATAGGACATACATTTCGGAAATCACCTAGCTGCATCATGAGGCAAGCCCTAACTTGGAATTCTGAAGGGAAACTGAAAAGATTAAGACCAAAAAGCACACTGCGTCGAGAATAGGAAGTAGACACGAAAAGCTTGGATAGCAACTGGAAATGATAGCTCAGGACAGAGTTGGATGGAGTGTACTGGTGGGTGGACTATGTTCCTCCACGAAGGGTAACAGGAGTAAATAATTAACGTAACTAAAAAATTGTCAATTGAACTTACATATATCAATATCTGATAAGCCAAGACCAAAGGCATACTCTTCATGTGCTGTTTGTAGAAAACTTCTTGAAAACTTAATTCCATGTTGATGATTAAAATTACGGCCTATTTCATTTTCATATTGAGATTCTTTTACAGATGACAAAGTAGTTTGGCTAAGATTATTTGTATTGTCTTCCAAGATATTGGAAAAACTAGGCGTACAAGTTGTTGGTGATAGCGATGCAGGATCTAAGGCTGCTTCTGTTACTTCTGTCGATGGATGTTCAGAAGTTTGACTAACAATAGATTTACATAACAATAAATTATTTGCAACTAGATTAGAATTCTGCTCAATTTTTTGACTTGTTCTTTCGCTAGTATGATTATCTAAAATCAATGTAGTTGCCCATGAAACGTTATCATGTGCAAGTGATAAAAATTCCTCAAGTATGTTTGGTTTTAAATTAGGAAATATTGACATTAATTCATCAAGTTTTCTTTGAGATGTAGATGGTTGTTGTGCCAGTGGAGATGTATTGGTAATTTCACTACTATTACCTATGTGTTCAGAGAGAAAAGAGTAAAAAAATTGAATAACAAAAACGTAAGGAAGTAGTCAATCCAGAAAAGACCTCAAATTATCTCATTTTTGTAAACGTAACTTTTTCCCAATCAATATTTCCACGCTGATCTTCGTTGTTATTTGGCTTATTGTTCAAAGGTTTGTGTCAAGAAAAGATTTAGTCATCTAGCATTTCTGGTTACTGCATGTTAGTTCTTTATTCGGAGAATAACCTCCATCAATTAAACTCTCGCTTCATAGAAATCACGAGCCAATAAAAGTTAGACGGCTGAAATCCAACAATCTCCACAACCCTATATTGACGATCACCATGTGCCCACTAGCGACTAGCTTTGAGAGAAAATTGTTGAACTTCTTGTCAGAAGCCATGACCAGTATAGTTTAACGGTGTCAAGTGTGAGGAAGGTAGGTACCCAATGAAAGAAATTGAAGACTGGTGGTTGAGCAGTATCATGGATTGATTGAAGTTGAACTTGTACATCATTGGTCTCGGCTTGGTGGTTCAGGGGTTGAGCATTCACGTTCGAGATCAAAAGTCGTGGATTTAATCCCTGATGAGAAGTCGTTGATCCGTACTGTCGAGAAGCCTCATGATAGAACGAATCAGTCATCCAGTGCTTTCAGTTTTGCAATGGTTGTCTAACATTGATCGGTTCGTGATTTTAATGAAATCCAACCACATTCACAACCTTATACTGAAAAGAAATATATGACTTGAAATAAACCGATTATAGGGTGCACTAACAATAACCATTGTCCAACAGCTAGTTCCACATTACGAGATTGGTTTATTCACTGATTTATAGCTAATGTGAGACGATCAAGAGAACAACTGAGTGAAATACATATGTTAAAGGTAATAGGAAGAAAGTTCTGAAGTTAGGGTAAATGTTGGTCAGCAGTCCTTACCAAGAGATACTTGCATTCCTTAGTGGAGTGGTGCTTTCTGTGAGATTCAAACATGTGTCATCCGATTCCACATCAATAAAATATATTAACACTAGGTTATTTGATTAATGACCGGTAATCTGTAGGACTAAAACTTTTGCACTAACTGATCGAATTTTATCGATCAGGGTAAAATGTGGTCATTCGTTGCTATCACTTGACATCATGTGAATTATGGTTTTATGTGCACATTCATCTTTGAGTCATTTTCTAGTTTCACATGAACTCTAAACGACACTATTCCATCTTTCTAACTTTGAACCTGATACAATGAATAAATGTTCAAGTATTGACAGTTAAACAATAGTTTCAGAAATTAACAGCTTTTTCTATATTCAGTAATTTAAACAAATTGTTTGTTTGTTCACTTTAGTTAAACTTGATTCATATTCAAGAAAAATATATATAATGTGCAATTTTAAAAACGTCCAGTAAGTTGAACATGAACACCAACGCATACAATCATTTTACTCAATGATTGGTTAATTGTTGTTACTTTGTTTAGTAAAAAATATTATCGATTCTCATTTTAGTTGATAAGGTATTTTAATTAAATTTATTGATTATTATAAACAAACTGATTCAATGACCTAGTATCATGGAGTTTAAAATTGTGTACACACTGACAACACAACTGAATGATGAAATGTATGTGACACTTAGTTAACTTTTAAAGAAACCAAAGAATTATTTGCACCACAGTATGTGCCAGAGTATGAGCAACTATTTAGTTCCTGATAAAATGAGCTTGTTAGTGTATTCACTCTTGATCACAGTGAAGTAAACCCAATTAAAGAGCATTGAATGACATTAATTTTCTACTTGCTGATTCCTTCAATGACTTAAAGTATATAAGTCTGCTTAATGAAGTTACTGATTAAATTGTCTAAACACTTTGAGTGACTAGAATGTTTGACATGTAGTGACCTACTTTTATCAAGAGAATTCGATTGATGTAATGGAAACAATTATTATTATAACCAACTGTACCAGAGATTGTTTTACCGTACCTGTTTGTTTAACTGTACCAAAACACATACATTCTTCCGTTGATTGTGACCTTGCACGAATTCGATCACGCTCAGTAACCACACTTGTAACCTGGCACGATCTCGGTATTCATTTGATACCACGAGATTGCCAACAAATACATCTCGACTACAGCCATCAACTGCCTTCTGATATTTGGCTTAAGGGGGATCTTATCGGTTAACTGGCACGCAGTCTTCCTGTAGTGGTGATCGTGGTCAATCGCGACTCGACGCCACACTACAGACATGTGTTTATTTATTCGTAAAATCAGATTTTACTCCAAGTGTTATACGACATTATTTGGTCTATAGAAAGATGTTGTTGAGTGTTGATCACCTATTTAGAGGGTCCCATTATCCATGGTGGTTAATTGATTCCTGATTAAATCTTCACAAGGATATAGAAAGTTTAATCAGGTTCTACCAAATTAGATCACCTGTGATGTAAATGAACCTATGAACACTTATTTATTTATTTATTTATTTATTTATTTATTTATTTATTTGAACACTATCGTGACTTTAAACTTGGATCGACTTTTACCCCGTGCCAATTGTTGTGTCCTTGACTGAAAGATTAGAGAGCAGTGTATTATCGACCGGATCAGTGACACGTAAAACACGCACGAACGGCCTAGAGTCCTGCTTCCCTGTCTAGCCCAGCCAGTTGAGTCCAGAACACAAGTCACAGCCTCTGAGATATGAATCATTTCAGACATACTCTATTTATATACCAATCAACCAGACCACATCGTACCATAAAATAGAAAACAACATTTGTACAATATTTGACAAGTGAAATAAATATTGACCAATAGGAAGTGTCCATTTAAAGTCCAAGGACACCATTAGACTTAACATGGTAATTATTGGTATATTCCTCTGCATCCCTAACAAACACATAAACACTGGTACAAGGGGGCATCAAATACATATGTGTCACACAATGACAATGAGGCCAGTAGTAGTTATCACTTATTTGTGTGAAGGCTGTGATACTGTCCGCGTGCCCAAACCAAAGAAGGTAGTCTTCTTAAAGGGCCACACCCAGAACCTTCGACCTAAAAGTCTAATCCACTAGGCAGTAAAGAAACGTCAGGAAATGCAGTCCCATGGTAACCGGTGACCAAAGATTGGTTCATACGCCATTTGTTTCATCAGGATCCTGAACCCCATGTGCACCATTGGTTTGTATTAAGGTTTTTCCAACTCCACTAGATGAATCCTCCGTGTCCATCCCGATTAAAGCGCCAGATATTCGCTTTTCGTTCTCTCAGTTTCGTAAATAACAGCAATACCACGAGAAGGCAGTGGGTGGGACTTTCCTGGTAGTGACTGTATACGCGAGGCCATGTGAGAGCATTTGGAGAGGGATAGCTGACTCGCCGCACCCTCGACCGTAGCAGGGCATTCGGGGGCAAAGATTGTACTTTGTAAATTAACTAGTCCCAAGGGACTTTAGCAAAGTTTGCACCCACAGTTGAACCACCTAGCGGGCAATTCAGTGATTAAAAGTAGCATGTCAAAAAGATATGGTAAGTCGTTTGTTAAGTTTGAGAATATTTAACTACCAATGTGACTGAGACACGCGTTACCCAAGCCCAGTCCTCACTTATCTTAGCGTTCTGTACAAGATATCGCAGAAGTAGAATTATGTAAGGCTAGGAACATCCAAACCAAGACACGATGGGAACTTACGAAGTGATTCATTATTGCTCTGATTCGCTTTGACAAGTACACATTTCTTTGGGTTTACAAGATAACTATAATCGATAAAGCTTCCTTGAGTCACAACAGTGTGATACATTTATCTTATTCATATGACAATCAAACACGATTGAAATATCAGATGGATAAAACAGATGTGAAAATGGTTTACGGTCACGTCATTATCTGGTGCGGTTGGTAAAAAAAGACAAAACTAACAACTGTTATAACGTATTCGTGTCGTCAAATCGACATTATCTTAACTTTCCAACAATCTGAGAAACAAATTACTTTATAACGGATATTTAAAAAAAAACATTGTTCCCAGATAATGGAGAAAATTTGTAACTCAGGAAAATTATTTAAATGGAACTTTGTTTTCAGAGGTGAATGTTTAAATCGTGAAGCTTTCATTGCTCTCTTGAACATCATCAAATCAAACTTCACGTGGAAGTAAAGCATTCAAATTTATTCATAGGCTCATTAATCAATCTATCATTCTCACCTGGTACTCTACGTCTAAACTCTAGAATTATTCACCACGTTGATTACGCAAATCTGAAGTATAGTCTCAAGGTGCCTATGATCAAATACTACCTATCCTACCGACCTACGCATGTTCTCAACCTTCGAAGGCTGCATTTCCAAACCATAGGATGATGTAATAAGTTTATGTACAGAAAATAATTACCGCCGACCAAATAAAAGTGAATTTTAAATATGGAAAAGTTGGTAGTGTACATATCACTAGACATTTCAAAATATCATTTGGATTCCTCAAAGAATAAATAATTAAACTTCTTATTTTCATCTCATAGAACTTATTACATGCTATCAATGTCTGGGTGACCTATATTTTTGATTACTAAAACAAAATGTATGCTAGATGTATAAAAACAAAGATAACGTTTTTAACGGTAAAATAATGACATGTATTTCTAACGACCTTGTATATGTGCTAGACTTGATAGTAAACAATTCAAGGTAACTTGTTTGAAATCACTGAATTCAACTAGTTCTCCACTTTTGAAATCATAATAAACAATCTAATAATAGAAAAGACAAACATAATGTGGATTTGAACTTTAAGCCTAGTTATTTAAACAACATATAGTCTGCGTTATATGACCGCAAACAACCTTGAAGGTGTAGAAAACTTTAGAGATATAGCCCGTGCAGATAAATAATAGTAGGACTGTAAAAACCACAAATTACCACGTAAATATATCTTTTATGATTTGCCTAAGATACTATCAATAAATCAACTAATCCATTGCTGTCTTCTTTCATATTATCGATAGGTTGCATAAATTCTGACGTTCCTCTATGTAGCTGATTAGAACACCGACAGTGGTTACAAGTATATTCATTACTACAACGCATAAATCACGTGACTATAAAAGTAGCATACATAGATACAATGTACTGTAATCTATGAATTTCAATTGACAACTTATTTATGTTTCGTAGAAAACTGAGTACAGTGAAAGTGTAGATTTAGAACAATCCAATCAAAATCGAGAAAATTACTCTCAAGTATTTTATGCGAAATACAGAAATGAATGACTTTCATCTTTCATAACAGGGAGTGAGAGATAAATACCTGTGTGTTCGGTGTTCAAGACATTTAAAATGCTTGGAGAAAATTCATTTTTGTGGTAGAATGAAAAATAAAATGTTAAGCAAATCAAGTTTGCGGGGTTGTTTTGTACATGGTACGTGAACCAATTAGTTTTTTGTTACAATCTACTTTGTACACAGTGAATATTGAAAGAAATCGTAAAATTCAACTGAATATCAACGTCCTAGATCTGAATAATAAATATATCAAAGCATTACATGTTAGTAGAAACTTAACATAGAGAATATGACTCGAGAAGAAGGAATGAAAAGACATGTATGAAGGAATATACTGGAACTCATCAAATATAAGATTTCAATTACTTTGGAACTTGAAAATAAATATATTTGTATTGAAATAGGCTTCAACTCTGTATTATCAAAGATTTATAAAGCGTTTACAAATAAATCAATATTACAATAACTTGGTCTTTCATTGATTCAAACAAAAATAACTCACTAATATCCTGAGACAGTGATCCACCCGAAACCACATGATCTATATTCAATGCTTCCATACTTCTAAAGAATATGAAAAATGAACACAAAGAGAGAGAAAAATAAAAACAAGAAAAAACTGAGAGCGTATGTTCCGATGAAAAAAAGAAAAGAAAAAGAGCCAATAGTACTCATTAAATTAAAGATCATAGCAACTGAAATAACATATATCATTTAAATACTCCATTGAACTAGTCTTTCAAAGGCTTTTCAAGTAATGTTATATTTTGACAAAAAGATTTTGTCTCTTAAGCGTTTTTTGTTGACCCACAATACTGGTGAATAGAGGGATGATTGAGCTATTCGAAAACGAACAGTTCTATTGAGAACTCGATAACGGAAGTTCTTACACAAAACTTCAACAATTAATTGGCCGCTATCACATGAAGAAGACAATGTACAGAAAAAACTTGATATTCAAGTATAATAAGGAGAATAGCTTGAAATGGTACATTTCATCATAAATGATAACGAAAGCACGTCCTTCAAGCATAGAGAAAATTATCGAACTAAATATAGTAGCAGCCAACCAGAAAAAAGAAAATGTCATGTGAAGAATTAAATCAAGAAAAAACCAGTCGCAGTTACCTTTACTCGTATGACATTTTTCATTATTTACATATATTGGACAAGCCTGTGATCACCTTAGCAAGTAGGCCTGGAAATAATATTTAACTGCAAAACTTAAACGAGGTTCGAAGAGTACTAGTAGAAGTTAGTCAAGCAGCTAAAGCCCAAGCTCCTATAAACCTTTGAATACGTCCTCCCATGGCATCCTATTCACACCGATAAAATATTGAATATGGTAACTTGAAATGCCCATAATTTATAAGAAAATTCTTGATGTAATATTTTATTTCAGTAAGTCAAACCAAATACAATATCTAGTAAACCTTAACGTAGATGTAATTCATATGGATAGCTAAGTGGGAAGGAAAGCCACAAAACTCAAATACATGTCTGTTAAAAATTCAAAATCTCAAGCTATCAACTCAAAGTTTCCATTATTTAATTGTTTTAATCTCAAACCTGTGTTATTATTGGATTTATTTGCATGTTGTGTTTACAAAATCGTAAGCTCACCACCTTTATCTCTTGTTTTACTATCTCATAGATTCTCTGACACATACCGTTTTACATATTTCTCTCCACCCCCCATTACATAATGTATCTTCAAGCTAAAAGAAAACCTGCGAATGGTTTAATGTTACAGTCGTCCACTGTTCAATGAAACATACGGTTTAAAAGTAGAAATACGCTATCAACTGAATCTATTAGAAAGTCACAATATTACCCCCATAAAGCCACTATGTTATAAGAAATTATCACTCACTACTGTTTTATATTATAACCCAAAGTTTGTAGGCAATTCATAGAGAAATCTGACCATCTGACAATTAGTCACGTTATCATTACAAACGATTAACAATGTAGTCATGTGTTATAATGATAAATTTTCATAATAGAAAAGTATCTACATCCAATTCTATCATATTGATAATGATAATAGTCCTATTCTCATGGACCACTTGGTATTTCATTCAAATTTCAATTTCTTTCAGTTATTATAGTAGGGAATCAAAAAATTAAAACAATCTAAGAATGAACACATCTCCATTACAAAGACCAACTTAAGTACAAAGCCGATTATAATTGTTCAAAAATGATGACTAAACAGCACACACGTACACAGGCAAAACATTCGCACAATTTACACTGAGAATTAAGGCGACTCGATGAATCTGTGGAATGTTATTAATTTTCCAGTTATTAAGTGACCATGCAGCAGCATGACATTAGTCATTAGGGACTGAAAAGAATGAGCAATTCAAAACAAATAAAAAAGGTAGGATGCATCGTAACGTCATAAGCGCCATACAAATTAACTGAAAGTTCCAAAAGGGTAATTCTACTAACATTGATAATTTGAACATAAAGAATAGATGACTGCATACATCCACCATGTTGACAATCACTTAATCTACCAGTTTGTATTTAACATGAACGAAAGGAACGGAGTCCCGCTGGTGGTGTTGATGACTTTGGTTTTAAGATTTGATTAACAATTTGTTATATCTGATAGTCACCATACATGAATTGAGTGTGTTATACAGAAATAAAACATTTATCTCAGAAATTAATATTTAACCAGATATTCTATATTTTAAGACTCGTAGTTCAGTAAGAACTAACTACTTATTTAATCAATTAAGTAGGATATCCATCAATTTAAGTAGATAGCTTATCAGCTATAAATAACTAAAATTATAATTCATTAATCAGTCAGTCATAATCAATAAGGCATTTAGCACAAATACGCAGTGGTCCAGGTCACCATACAACATTAGCACAAGGAAATAAAATGAAGATGAACTGCAAAGAAATCGAAGTTGCTGTAATACCAATGATCGTGATAATGACTAAACATTAAAACTTAACGAAACTGACCACCTTGAGCGATTTTAAGAGTGAATTTGAGATTAACCGGTCGAATGTTAGAGATCCAGAATGTAGGTTGTGTAAACTAATCATAGATTTGATCATGAGAAAGTGTCATTTCCAATAGACTTATTTTCTCAACATCTAGTGCAGTGTATAACAAAAGCATCTCTGGACTCTAGATTTTCTCTCCTTGTTTTTTATGTCCACGGTTAGATAAAATGCTATTTCTCAATATTCCAAGGTTCTATAAGTGATCAACGATCACATTACCGACCAAATTAGCCAAAATAAAAAACCTAGTCCAAAAAAAATAGTTTCGGTAATGGGTTATCCATAACTGCATTTCGAAAATCGCGCGTCAACCCAACAACCGCTACCTCCATCCTGACTGGCCATTTTCATTTGTTTCAAGGCCGTTAGTACAGTTTAGTTCCATCGACTAAACACTGAGAATGTAGTTTACAAAGAAGATATACTTAGAGTAATACTAAAACCCAAAATCTGGGAGGTGGAGAAAGAGTGAGTATATCTATAAGCCACACTGCCCAAAATTCCTAACCATTCGCTGTGATCATTCAGCCGACCAAGTAGTCTGAACCTACAAACACAGCTTAGTTCAGAGGTAAATGATTTTATGGACTGAGAATTACATTTCATCAATATACATAGGTTAGAGCATTTTCCTTGCATAAAATTACAGTAATATATTCAGACTTGATATACTCCGAATTACCTGTTTATTTAAATAATTAATTAATTTATTAATTTATTTATTTATTTACTATGTCATTCTTTGATTACAGATTAAGTTTTATCATAGAGTTAGTTTCAACAGTATCAACTAATGTTGAATTATATCTGGAAAAAAGTGTTTATCCTACTCCTAAAGCAACTTTATTGTTACAAAAGAAACCAAGTATTTTAACGTTTTGACAATTATGTTTTTTTATGAAACAAGTTACACAACCAAGTATTTTGTGTGACATTGTACTATTAGAAACTTCGTATTAATTTAAAAACATATTCCCTAATTAGAAAAGGTGTTTTATACTATGAACAGAACAAAATAGCACAATAGAAAATGGCACGACTAATTTTCATTCATGTCTATGCCAGAATTCAGGGCCGACTTCATAAACAGATAACTAGTTAATTACAATCACTATGACAAAACATAATGATTGTTGTATGAACTGATGAAAGTAACTCGAAATGAAGTATTTTGATTGGTTGATATTTCGTATTAATCGATTGTCTGAAAAAATAAGTCACTGAATGGACTAACAGACCGACCGTTCAATAACAAGGCGCCAGAATTTTCTAGTGATGTACTGAGCTTAATTAAGGTCATGATAAGCATGCAATCTTAACAGCATTATATATTTTTCTATTAATTGAAACAGCAGGAATTTAAGCAGTTTCAAATTAAATGCAAAATTCCATTAATCATACTTCCTTAACATTCAATAAAAGTGTGATATCTAGCATATCCCCGTTTACTTAGTATGTCAGTGTTGCATATAACTGTAATTTCTACTCGAAACTTCATTTTAATAATTTAAAGTTATCTATTTATGTCTTTTATGAAAACGCTATTGTCGCGCAACCCAAATTACCGGATGAAAAAAAAGCAAATAAAAAGGAACTAAGAGTTTGAAATGAGATCCACAGTAAATTTTATGCTCCTTATATGTAGAATTCCCTCACTAAATGGACGGGAAAATCCTAGATATTGCATACATATCGAGCATTGAGAGGCAGATAAGTTACAAACTCAAGGACACATCCTGTACCTCACTCAATTGTACTGAGTGTACAACATCAGTTTACAATATTACTGAATTTGAAAAGCTTTTGTATACTAATCCCTACTAAAAACAAGTTCATTTGAATTACACATTTTAAAAAATGTTATTCTATACAGGCCTATCCTAGGCAGTTCTACTGCACGGAGCTGAAACTTCGAGAACTACTACAACCATAATCAAAAAAGTACAAGTATTTATGAACAACTGTCTACACAAGGTACTCGGTGTCCATCGGCCAGACACCATCAGCGACCTACTGCGACAGAGAATAAAACAACTTTCAGCTGAGAAAATTATGGAAGAACGAGGGAGGTGAACAGGAGATACATTACGGAAATTATTTAACTGCATTGCGAGGCAAGCCCTAACCTGGAATTCTGAAGGAAAAAGGAAAATATGAAGACGAAGGAAAACATTGCGTCGGGAATTAGAAGCGGATATAAAAAAATGAATAGGACTTGGAAACAACTGAAAAAGAGAGTCCAAGACAAAGGTGGTTGGTGGGCGACCTATGCTCCTCCACGAAATGTGACAGGCGTAAGTAAGTATCCTATAGAAAACCTTAGTGAACCATTACGAAAGTTGAACAAACTAAGTTCAGATTATCTGGGAACCTATTGCAGTTGTGGAATTTCGATGCAAAAAACAAAAACATTAAATGTCTTATTGTTTATATATATAAACTAATTTACGAAGTGCAGATTTACTAAACACTAGACTTTCAGTCACACTCCAATTTGTGTGATCGCTAGTGAAACTGTCCAACTGTCTAAA